CCTTTCTCCCGTCCTCGTCGCTACAGTGTGTTTGAACCCGTTGGAATAGAGCCCTGACAAAACTGCGTTTGTGACCAATGGGGTGGTTACTTCCGCATTGCATAATGCGTCTGGTGTTTGTTGACTTGCGGTATACCGTAGTTCGTATCCTCCCCTCGGAAGTCCTCGTAACTTGCACATCCAGGAAGGGCAACTGGTTGTTGCATTCTTCTTCCATCGTAAATTGAATATCGGGGAATATCGAGTTCAGCAGGGTCTTAAAGTCCTGAACTTCGTTCTTTTTCATTATAACAAATGTGTTGTCGACGTACCTGGCCCAGCATTTTGGACAGTGCGATCGGAAGACCAGTCGCTCGAGCCTCTGCAGGACCGCCTCGGCAATTAACCCAGACAGGGGGGAGCCCATCGGTGTTCCCTTTTTTTGCTCGTAAACTCGATCGTTAAAGGTGACGAATGTCCTGAGGCATAATTCCACGAGTTCTGTGACGTACTTTCGTTTGAGTTGTTGTTCATCTTCCTCATACTTTTCCTGAAGGAGCTTATCGATAGTGCTGATGGCGAGACCGGTTGGAATGGAAGTGAATAATGACACGACATCAAACGACACCATTACCTCGTCTGCATCTATTTCTAGATGTCTGATATTCCTCAGAAATTCTTCAGCCGACTTCACTGTGTATTTCGAGCCTTCGGTGTGGAAGCGAAACCTCTGGTAGAGCCATTTCGATAGTCCAAATGTTAGGGTGCCACGTAAGGAGACAATGGGGCGAAGGGGCAAATCCGGCTAATGCACGTTTTGCAGACCGTAGAGACGTGCCATCGCGGCATCTGTGGCTTTTGTGGTCAGTGCATCCTTTCGTTTAAGGGCTCCTGCCTTCTTCAGCTTGTCAATCACCCGGTTGACAACGTTCACATGTTTTTTGAACTCTCCAGCTTCCGAAAGCTGGTAGGCATCTTCGTCCCACAGCAGACTTTGTAGGTTCGCCGTGTACTCAGTCCTATCCATGACCACTGTCGAGCGTCCCTTGTCCAAT